AATAATATGAAGGATATTATCGATAAGTTAATATGCATTACAGAAACTTGGTGCAAATTTAATTAAGCCAACTCTAACTCTAGTTTTTTTTGTTCAATTTTCCTGTTATTATAATAGAGCCTAAAACAAAACAAAAACGCGGCGGCGCTATTTTTATTTATGTATAGAAAACCTGCAGTTTGTTAATAGAATTGATTTAACCGTTCTGAAAGCGAAAAAGAGGTTTTAGCAATGAAAATATTACCCATAAAAAAAATTAAAATATACTTTTGAGTTGCTGCCATTGCCCACCAACTAGTGTAATTAAATATTTGAATACTTTTTTAAATAAAGTTATTTAAAAAAAAAAAGTAACTACGAAAAGATATTAAACTATTTAATTAGTGACTTAAATTTGAATTGCTTACAGTATCACGTCAAACACAACATTAGAGAGTTTAAATATGACTTAATTAAAAACGGAGCGTTTCCGATAATAACAAAACCGACAAGAATTACTAAATCAACAACTTCATTAATTGACAATATCATAACGAACGTTATTTTTATTCATTTACTTAAAAAAGGAATTATTTAATGCGATATCACAGATCATTTTCCGACTTTTTTCTCCATAAATACAGATACTAAACTAATACTATATTAAAAAGTATAGCTTTTGTAAACGCATTTTTAGTAAAGCAAATTTACCATCACTTAATACCCAATTATCAATGCTTCATTAGCAACACATTAATCTTTCTCAGGACGCATACTTCATTATAGCAATTTTCTTAAAAAATACTACGATATTTATGACGCAAATTTTCCTAAAATTGAAATAAATCAAATGCTCAAAAAAATAACATCCTCATGGATAACCAATTTACTGAAAAAAATCTCCCAAAATTAAACAAATATTATATATTAAGTAGTTGAAATCCAAATCAGTTGAAAATAAAATTATTTACAAAAACTATGCTAGAGAATTCGAAAGACAAAGAAAAAAAAAATACTATCTTGACTTGAAAAAAAACCAAAACAACTCAAAATCCAATAGAAAAATTTAAGAGAATCACAGGTAAAGCTAAACCTAAATCAGGCGCTTTGCATAACGGTATTAAAGTTAATGATAAAACTTTATACCCGGTAAAAAAGAGAGCTAGATAACACAAGACGTTTTAAAAACGTTTAAAAAACGTATTACTACATATTTTAAACGTCTTAAACGCGTCTTTTACTTATATGTAGCAACTAGCTAGCTATTTGCTGTCTAATTGCTAGCTCACTGGGTATGATTCAATCGATATTGCAGTTGAATTAAATAAGCATTTTATTTTAGCAGGGCCTAACTTAGCAAAAAATATTCCTTATACTAGTAATTTTTTTGAATTTTCACCTTAAAAAACAACAAATTTTAGTTGCATTGAAATATTCTTTAAGGAATTTGAAGCTGCTTTTAAAACGATTAAACCAAATAAAGCAATAGGATCAGACGGTATCAACGGAAGCGTTGTTATAAGTTCTTACAATTTTATTGAAAATATTTTATTTAAATTCTTTTCGTCTTGCGTTAGCCAAGGAGTTTTCCCTGATCAACTTAAAATTAACAAAGTAACGTAAATATTTAAAAAAGAGGATGCAAATTGTGTAAATATATATCGATCTCCATAAAGCTTCCAGCCTGACGACAAATATGTTTGCCGACGACACAAATTTATTTATATATGTTTTTATAACTAATATATCATGTTGCACAGCAGCATTACTATATTAGTTAAAATTATGAACTTAGAACTTTAAAAGCTTCCGACTGGTTCAAAGTAAATAAACTTTCTTTAAATATTAACAAAAACTAACTGGACTCTATTTCACCCACTTTCCAAAATAAAAATTAGGCTATACAAAACATCATCTATATTTATTGATAATATTCATGTAAAAAGAGTAAAAACTACTCAGCTTTTAGGAATATATATTGACGAAAATTTTTAATGGAGACAGCGCATCGAAAATTTAAGCAACAAAATTTCAAAAAGTATTAGAATATTAAACAAATCAAAAAGGTATTTAAACATGCGCACAAAAATGTATTATTGTGCGCATGTTAGAATTTGAAGAGAAAATTGCTTGTAAATTTGATAATTGTGTTTCTAAAAATGCGCGTTATGACATTTTGACAATTTAAATTACCACAATCATTGACTTATTGCCATTTATTAATGTGTTAATTATTGCGTTATTATGATAATATAAATACGCTAATTTAATATTATTATTATTAGTCGAGTTACGTCATTTTCTAGGCTTTTGTATTTTAAAGTAGTTTCTAGGCTTTTCTATACGCGTTTTTTTTTTTTTAATTTATTTACTAACAACGCGTATTACGGGTTGCTTAATGCTAGTTAATAAAAATTTTTCCATACTTTTGTTAAATGTTAGTTGTATAAAACGGGCGAAAACAATCGACCTTTATGTTTTTAATTTGATGGTTATAAAATGTTGAATAGTAAACTTATAATAAAAAATTAAAAATGCCGACTTGTGTTGCTATTAACTGTACTTTTAATCCAAAATCAGGATCTTACATATCCTTTCACGAATTTTTATATCTGATACTACTGTCAACTGTATTGTTTAGTGACTACTTTTTTTTTCATAACCTTAACAGGCTCTAATTGGCATGGGGTTGGTGACGTTTTAAAAATTTCATTATCAAAAATCAAATGTAAAATAAAATGATATTTCTTTTTTATTGGTATCCAGTTCAGCAAATTTAGCAATTTAAATTAAAACAGCGTAATCAAAATATTTGTATAATAAAAAAAAATAACACTTTATCAAATATCACTAACTAATACAGTCAGTTTATAAAAGTATTTGTTAATAAATACTTTTTTTCGACGGGAAAACAAAAAATTATCATAGCGTAAAAGTTACCAGAGAAGTTAAAAGAGTTCCCATTGTTTAAATAAAATTAAGTAAGAGTCAGAATATATAAAACTGCGCTCTCTTGCACAAAAACGAGAGACCGTTTATAAAACGTTCTATATCTATGTAAAATACTCGTATGAAAATCATAAGATTAGTTAGTAAAGTTTCAATATTTGTTTTAATTTAAAAACAATAGAAATATAAGTAAGATATATAAATCTAAATATTATTGACACGTTTGCTGCCAAACCTGTTTTAGCAAGGCGTTATTACACTGCCAAGCAGTAAATTATGCAACATTAAATTTCTACCAAGGCTGTTTTGCGTGGTTTTGTTTTCACTGCCTAGGCTAGATATTAACATTTCAATAAAAAACGTTTTTTCTATCAAACATAATTTAAATAATATTTTTATATTCAGAATAAATTTATTCTGAATATAAAAAAGAAAAAAAAATCACTACGAGTGTACTGGTACTTTAGCAATAGAGAAGAAATTTTTTTTGCCAGTGCTAAAGTACGAGAATACTCGTAAGCGTTTTGTAACACCAATCGTTGCAGTGCAGAATGGAAAATTGGCTAAATGAAAAAATAGAAGAGATATTCTAATAATAAGCAACATGCATTCATTAGAGATTGTTGAAGTGACGAACAGAAGAGATGCAAAGAAACTTAAACCGAATATAATTCGAGATTATAATAAAGGCATGTCAGGAGCTAATCAAGCTGATCAAATAGTATCTTATTATGACTATCTTAGAAAAACCACAATATAGTATAAAAAAGTAACTATTCATATTTTTGATATATTTTTATTTAATGCTTAGAGTCTTAACTGCAAGTATGAAACAGATAAAGCAATGTCCTTGCTTAAATTTCAAAAAATAATTGTTACCAATTTATTAAGAGAGAAGTTAAACAAAGAAACGTTGCTTCCTCAAGTCAACAACAACAAATTTCATTATTTGGCTGCTATACCACCAAATGAAGTGACGAAATCGCCCACAAAACGTTGTCGTGTTTGTTCTAAAATGAAACGTAAGGAAACACGCTATCAATGCGTTGTATGTGTAAAAAAGCCGTTATGTGTTGGGGAATGTTTTAGAATATACCATGTAAAATAAATGGTTTTTAAAATATTTTTCAAGAAAAAAAACCGAAATACTAAACATATAATACTTTTATTTATTTTAAGTTTCTTGCATCTTTATCCCTATTTATAAAAAACACGGGGGTTTACGAAGTACAAGTCTATAACTTAGTTATTTCTAAAGTCTATTCTTAAGTTCAAAAAAAAGATATTATATGAACTAACATAGCTAAACATAATTAGAATTAAATTTTTAATTTGTTAGTTGAACTAGGAGTATACTCGTAGTTGGCAAATTTTTTACCCACGCATTCTATGAGTACACTCGTAGTTGGCCTAAAAACAGCGTTTTTTCACTACGAGTATACTCGTAGTTGGTCAAAAAATTGCGTTTTTTTACTACGAGTATACTTGTAGTTAACATTCCCCAACACATAACGGAGGCTTTTTTACACATACAACGCATTGATAGCGTGTTTCCTAACGTTTAATTTTTCAAAAAATTAAACGCGTTTTTTTACTACGAGTATACTCGTAGTTGACAGCGAACGTGTTGAGATATTTGTAAAAAATAAATTGCACCATAAAAAAAAAATTATTGTTTTTACTTTTTACATAAAGTTTTTTGTGATGATTCGAAAAATAATACAAATAAATTTGTTTTGCAGTATGTTAAGAAAATACTACATCGTACTTTTTGAATTAAAGTAGAAAAACGCAGCTTTGTGTAATTACACTTTTTATTTGTTAAAAGTCTACCGTGACGTCAAACTAATATGAATTAAATGTGTTGGGAGTTTGGAACCCCTTTAAAATAATGAATATTTTAAACATATATCAACTTAACGTATATAATATTCTATGTTTTATGTACAATTGTAAAACAAAACTATTTTCGTCTCATTTTCATAGTTTATTTATAATAAAACAAAAAAAATAAATGCGATCTACAAAATTATGATTTTTTTGATCCAACCATATTTGAAAACTAATCATTGTTAATTTTGCGTATCCTTAGTGTGGACCGTATCTTCGGAACAAAATTGACTTGAATAACATTAATTTCTTTTCAAATTTAATTACATATTTTTTAAAAAATGCTAAAAGAAGGAGTTGTTTAAATTGACAACATACAAATGTACATTTAAAATCTTTTGAAGTTCTTTTTATCTATTATTTTTATCGATTTAAATGACTTCTAATGTATGATTTTTCTTGATATGATTTGTAACTCAATTATTTTCTATCTGCAAGCTTATATTGCTTTTATTTATCTATCAAATTATCTTTAAAAAATTTTTTGTAAACTTTTTATTTTTTTTTTTGTAATTTTTTAAGCTTAAATTTTGTTAATTCTTTTATTATTGCAAAACACTTTTTTATTTACTCCGTAAAATATTTAACTTGTAAAAATATTACAACTTCTTTTAACAGCAATACTCGGCAACAAAACCACTATATACATATATTTTGTCGCATAAAAATAAAAATAAACGGCAGTTTGTTGTTTTGTTTTACAGTTTTTATGC